TATCTCTACAGGACATCCCTTCGTAACTGATCACCTTCGTAAGAGAATTACAAGGCATTTTTCTGGAAAGCCATAATGAATAATGTATTTTCCATAAGGTGTTTCTTTCTACACTGCCAAAAGCCTTCTCGCGTCAATGAAGCTCACACAAAGTCGAGGATCCATTGATCTCTTCCAAATTAAACTATATCTGAATGCGAGTGATCTGGTCAATGCTCGATCTGTTTTGACACATGCCAGCTGGTGGTCTCTAAGCATGGCAACTAAAGTCGTCGTCATTCTTTCTAGTAAGATCTTAATCAGAGACGGGGCTTTCTCTGGAACTGACAGCAGCATTAATCCTCTTTAAGAGTTATTACAGTCTGGGATTTCCTTTCTTAGGTATCTTTACGATAAGACCATTTTTCTATTCCTCCGGAAACTTGAACTTCTCCCACATCTTTGCAACAGCCTATGCAATATGTCCACGGACAACTTTTAAACAGTTATCAAAACTTCTGCTATAACTCTATTGTGTGTACTATTAGTATACGTAATAGCACGGTTTAGAGTTCAATTTGGGATAATTTGCACGAGAGTGTGTTTTTCAAAAAGTTGAAATTGCACGAGACCTTCGACTGCTATGTTTCATTTCTTAGAAATATATTATACGAGTGCAAATTGTTCCAAATGAAATGAGAAATTGTATTATTACTTATTAATAACATACATGAAAAAATCACAAAAGAAAGAGACGAAAATTTGTGAAATATTCAACGCATAATATTTTATTTCATTCGTTCGTTTTTAACCAACTATATTCAAAGCAATGTTGGTTTCAAATAAGCTTACATGTAATTCAAAGAGTTATTTATTTATTTTAAACCAGTATTTGGCTATATATGTGTTTCGTAAAAAGTTTGTTTTAGTGTTAAGTAAATCGTGTCCACATCGTGTCTTAATGGTCTTGCTCATAGTCATTTTCATTCTTCCTACTAATTATTCCATATATTCAGTCATAATAATATACTTTTACTTGGGTTTTTCTTTTTTGAACTGTTTTTTTAGTTGTTTGATCATAAACTCCGTAAAATCTTTGCCTACTTTTATCTAAGGCTGCGTTCATAATGTATGGTAAAGGGGGGGTCAGGTGAAATTGAGGTGGGATCGGGAAAATTTTGGTAGGAAAAAGGGGGGATTGGCAAATGTTAATCAGAAAAATGGGGGAGGGGGGATGCACAATTTTTGGAAGAAGCTACAAGCCTTGTTTATGGGGGATCGTATTTTTTTGCATGACTTTAAGGGGGAATGTCAAGAATTATTCTGATCATTTCAAATTTTCACCCCCCCCCCCTCCTCTGCCATAAATTATGAACGCAGCATAAGATAAAATGGCTATTATTTTTGCCCTCGTTTTGCTAAATTTTCCTCAAATGTTTCATCATAAAAATCTGTCATCTTATTGGATAAAATCATTTTCTATAGTTTATTATCCAATTAAAAGCGAGAATTCCGTTTTAATTTGCACTGTGTTACACTTTTCTGCACTGAATTTTGCACTGTATTACGTTTGAACAACACTGCTCTAATCCCATAAGAATTTAGTTTTTTTTTTTTTTCATGTATGTTATTACACACACAATAGACTTACAGCAGAAATTTTAAAGACTGTTTGAAAATTGTTCCTGGATTATTGCATAATAGGCTGTTGCAAAGATGTGGGAGAAGTTCAAGTTTCCGGAGGAATAGAAAAATGGTCTTATCGTAAAGATACCTAAGAATGGAAGTCCCAAGACTGTAATAACTCAGTAAAGAGGACCATTGCTGCTGTCAGTTCCAGAGAAAGCCCCGTCTCTGATTAAGATCTTACTAGAAAGAATGACGACGACTTTAGTTGCCATGCTTAGAGACCAACACCTGACATGGGTCAAAACAGATCGAGCATTGACTAGATATTCACTCGCATTCAGTTATAGTTTAATTTGAAGAGATCAATGGATCCTCGACTTTGTGTGAGCTTCATTGACGCGAGAGGGCTTTTGGCAGTGTAGAAAGAAACACCTTATGGAAAATACTGTATTCATTATGGCATCCCAGAAAAATGCCTTGTAATTCTCTTACGAAGGTGATCAGTTACGAAGAGATGTCCTGTAGAGATATACATGCAGGGCAGCTGTTTAAAACCGGCGCTAGAAAAGGTTGTTATAA